TTTTTTTTTTCTGATTGAGTAATTGCTAAACCATCCGTACAACAAACAAAGTTGAATTATAGTTTAAGACTTTTCCTACAATTAATTAATTTCAGGATGATTTTGGTGAGTGATGCACTATGAGATCATAATTTCAGGTGAAAACCCAATTGCCCAATTGATCCACTTAAATACTTGGGCCTAATCTACATTTATCTAAAGGGCCTTACTTTTCCAATTAGAGAAGAGATATGAGAGGAAGAAGTGCTTGAACCCACAGCAAAATTAATGAGTCAAGCTCCAAGGTCCAGACAAGAAATAGGGTTTTACCTATAGTTGATTATACCTTTTTTCAATTAATAATATTCTGGCCCTTGATTTTTCTTAGTATTCAAAGTACAAAAGTTCTATATTTAAATATATACTAATAAACATACATAATTTAGAGATGTCACCCACCTTTTCCTCGAAAAATCACATAAACACACGGTTCCAAGAATATTAAAAAACCATGTTACTTGTTATATAAATCAAGTATGCAAAAATTGAAATAATTTCAATAAATTTTGATTGTTTTATTTAAATATGTATTTTCATTAAAAGTTACATATTTAAGTAATATTGATAAAATTTTAGATATTATTTTTAATTAATTTTTTAAGAAAATTTTTTTTATTAATTTCGAATCATTCTTGAAAAACACTCCAAACAAATCATTGAACAAAATAAAACTGATTTTCAGAAACGGTACATCATAAAAACAAAAGCTAGTAACTAGATTAAAGCCTATGTTGGCTATACCATCCGCTAGCATATTTTATTCTCGATAAATATGAAAAATTTTTACCTCCCAATCTAGTTGTAACAAGCTGTAAATAATGTTTAGTAAATCAAAATTTGTACACGAAAGCAATGCATTAGCGATAATTACCTAAACCACAATTTTATTGTCCACCTACATTCATATCCTACGAATTCCTTTATCCCTTGCTATTTACAGACTATATAAGATGTCCCATAATTCCGCCCCACCTAACCAATATCCTTTGTGTTATTTTATGACGCACCGTAACCCCACCATTTTGACTTTGTGTGCAGGGCAACAAGGCGGTCCGTGGCGTGTCGCTTGGTGTTGGAGCTCTCGGGTGCAAATCGAAACAAAGAGAGAGAGAGAGGAGAGGACTACCTTTGGAGGGCTCGGATCTCTCTCCGGTGAGAGAGGTGATTCTCACAGCCTGCGGATCCTTGCACGGCGTGTTGAGGCGAGCTTGGAGAGCCCGTCTTGGGCAGTGGTTGTTGCCGGACGGCGGGATTCCGGCGACCGAAACTTGGAGAGCTCGGTTTCACCGATCCGGGAGGTATTTCAAGCGACGGTTGCGCGGAGAGCACGCAAGGAGGAGGCTAACGCATCAGTTCGGTCGCGTTGGTTTTGGTCGAGTTTGACCAAAAACCAGTTCCCGGAGAAGACGACCGTGACCGGATTCCGGCAACCTCCGACGACCGACCCGATTTCGACGGGAATGCTACCCCGGGGGTTTTGACGCGCTGCGGTTCAACGGCGACGTCGGTTTCGTCATCCGACGCACGGTTTTGGAGATACGGGACAGCGGACTTCCGAGGCGCATTTCGGGCCGTCAGGAAGTCGGAAGTGATCGCGGATTGCACGTACGCGATCACAGGAGCATCGAGCACGCATCTGGAGCACAGACGGGTGGTGGCGGGCGCATTCCTGTCAGAGCCAATATTTCGGGATTGTGCGGGCCCACTTTGTGTTCACATTTTCGCATTGTATTTCCCGAACAACATTTATTCAGTGTGACTAGTTTCCGCACTTAGTTGCATTGTATTTCTCAGAGCGGTTTTCGACGATCGAGTGTGTGGTGCAAGTGAAAAGACACACACCCAACACTTTGTAGTCACGCAATGCAAACACTAGCAGCAACCAAATTAGTACCACGACGTAATGTCCCATGTGAGTTTATTGTTACTCAACTTTACGGTGGATTCTACCATTCCGCCAGTACTTCTCTTTTATAGCCATCAGAGTTGCTACGTGTGCAAGGAATTGTGATAGCATTATGTGACGTGGCAGCTAAACCTTTTAGTATTGATATCTTACTATCCATAGCTTTAATTAATTTTTTACATATTATATATTAATGATCTTTTCATTCAACTCTACTAATTAATGTATCAAATTTAATTTTTATTTAATTCTTTTAACCAAAACCTAAAAATAAAAAACAAAAAGGGTAGTATGTATAAATGTTTTATTTTGGTTTTTCTAAAGCAAGTTTTTTAATTTTCATTTGTTGACGGGGTATTGCATGAGATGAGCCAAGGTTAAAGCAAAACATACTAGATAAAAAGAAAAATTTCCAAATTTAATAGACTGAAATTTTGAGATTATAAACTTATAATAATATATATTAAATTTATAAGCAGTAATTTGTGGAGGACTCAGCAGGTACTTGCATTGTTTTTGCACATGCATCATCATCATGCATGCATGTGAAGCGTACCGACTTGTGCACCTTCATTGATGATCAGCCCTTGTCGTGATTGGCTGGATGGCCGCATTAACCCCAAATCTACCAACACCACGTGAACTCCAATTAATTACACGTAATAAATGAATATAGCAAACTCATTTTTATTTTGATTATGAAAGTATTTTTCTTTTATTTACTTTCATGAAATTGGTTATACATAACAACGGATGCTTGTTCATTCTTTTGTTTCATGTAAAATAAGGTTTGGGGTGGCTTGATATGGAAGAAACATCGCCGTTAATGCTTTAATTGATCTTCACGTTCATCTTTTCCATGAAATAGAAAGAGTGAATTTTATGATCATATATATAAAAAATGTTACCTGACTATTGTTGTGTAGTCTGTAATTCAATGAATTGTTACATATACATACATACAAAAAAAAAAAAACCTCAATATACTAATCCAGTGCTATCAAATTCACTCACAGTCGCATACCTATTTTTAACATCTGGTAAGGAAATATAAACCTTAACATGTATATACCGTTTTTAAGTAATGGTGCCTCTTTTGTAGGCACTATTTCTGGTTCTTTATGAAAATTTATGGGATGGGAGGCAATTTATTGGGGTTTTGGTGCGACAGATTATTGAGCTGGTTGGAGTTATGAGAGTTTTTAGTGCCTTAAAGGTGCAGAAACGCGTGGAACAACTCAGCTATTGCTTATTGGAGTCCTTTGCTCAACCCTTCTCCATTATACCACTCTTCTCAGTCTCACCCTCCTCTACATGCAAGGCCACCCTTCTTTATTCCAAAAGCAAACAATTAATGGGATTCAAATCTCAAACCTTCCTTCTCACTCAAGGAGTGATTCCTGTCAATCCAAGTATTAGTTTTTATTTTTAATTATAATATCATTTTATTTCATCAAGAAAAACTCCCTCATCCACGACATGTGAGATTCCATGCCCTATAAGCTTCAAACCATGAGCGGACTCAACTTCGTAGGAGTGGTGTCATATAAGTAATGTCAAATGACATCACTCAATTGCTAACTATTTATACAAATATATTACTTATTTAGAGTTTTATATAATTAATGACACTAATAAATTTATTAATTTTTTTGTAATTTTGCAAAGAGTGGGATAAAAACTCAAAGTAAATTTATCAAAAGATAATTTATATACTAATATTTAAATAGTTAAGTAGACAAATTTTTTTTATAATTTAAGATTTTATTAAAAAAAATCAAAACTTAAATTACTTCCCTTTCTCTCTCAAAAAATTTAAGTCCTACTTTTCAGACCTGTGGTGAGGCTTCCTCTTCTCAATCCTTAGCTGCATTTTTAAGTCTCTCAAAACAATTCATCTAATAATTATCAATCCAAATTAAGTTTTTAAATACTCCATATTTAAATATTTTTTTTATTAATTTGATAGTTTGGGACCCAAACAGAATCTAACTAATAGAAAATAGTATTACATGTCAAATAATATTTTGAAATTATAAATTTTTCTTTTTTTAATTTATTTTATAAATATATTGTTTAATTATTTGATTTTTACATTTAACTTTATGTAGTTTATGGATGTTGATACTTAATTTTGATCAATAAATAGAAATTTGACAAATTGTTAATTATTACACCATTAAGAAAAATTTCTCAATCTACGCTTGTTTCAAAGGGAAACATATTGGCAAAAAATCTTCACCCCTAGTGTGTACAAAATAAGACGTCTCCAAATATTAGTTATTTAATCACAATTATCAATAGATATTGAAAAAATTCCCTTTTTTTATATATTAATTCCATTTACTTTTTTAACATTAAAAGCTAGTATTACATACCAATATATTACTACTATAAAAGTTTTAAGTTTTTAAGCTTAATAAATACTAAACTCAAAATATTTTTCTTAATTTTTATTTTATAAGACAAAACCAGACATTCAATATGAGACCAATGAAGCATTACATAACTCTAAAATTATGTTTCAATAAGATTTCCACGAACAAGACATACTATAATAACAATGCTAGTAAAAAAAATTATAATTGAATGCCCTATATCTACAATTTTTCCTAATTTTTGAGAAACTTTTTTATAAAAAATAAAAATGCATATATGTAACAGAGATTCCCATAAGTCTAGAGAAACTCATAAATATCTAAGAAATATAAAAAGGAATTTTATTAATTCAATCATCTTTCTTTCTTTCTTTTTTTCTCGTTTTACTTTCTTTAGGAAACAAACATTAATTAATATACATTAAAGTAACTGCATCCATTAAAAAAAAGGCGTTCAGAAATAGTGAATATTGTGGTACAATAGTCGGGGACAAGAGTGCCCGAAGAAATAAAATTTTGCATGTGCGTTTTGATGCCTGCATGGTTAATTACCCAAATTAGTATCTTTGGCAGTTAGTTGGCAAACTTGGTCCCAATAATCATAGCCTTCCTCCTTAGCACAAAGCCTTTTCCCTTTTACCTTGAATTTGTATAAATAGCTATACCCCTTTGCCCTCAAATCCTCAAAGCCTTGCTCCCAGCAATAAAGTCACCCCCATTGTTTGAGCTTGCTCTCACTCAAATGGCCACCACATCAATGCAAATTATATTGTCAGTTCTCTTCTTATTCTGTCTGCTCGGTATCTGCAGCTGTTTCCATGGCTCTAACAGAGATGATGGAGGTTGGCAAACTGCCCATGCCACATTCTATGGTGGTGCTGACGCTACCGGCACAATGGGTGAGTTTCAGACTTGAGAGACACATAATGTCGTTACTTGAATTTTTCTTCTCTTTGATGGTCTGTATTTCTGGGATGTTTGTGATAATTTTTTTAGGGGGAGCATGTGGTTATGGAAACTTGTATAGCCAGGGGTATGGAACGACCACAGCAGCTTTGAGCACTGCACTTTTCAACAATGGCTTGAGCTGCGGTGCCTGCTACGAGCTGCGGTGCAATGATGACCCCAAATGGTGCATTTCTCGAACAATAACCGTGACTGCCACCAACTTTTGTCCTCCTAATTATGCTTTATCTAGTGACAATGGTGGGTGGTGCAATCCCCCTCGACAACACTTCGATTTGGCAGAACCTGCTTTCTTACAGATTGCAGAATATCGAGCTGGCATTGTTCCTGTTCTCTTCAGAAGGTAGTGCTAGTCCTCCCCAAAATTTTACTTCTATTAATAGCACAAACTGTCACAAAGTAATTAAATATGGCATGTTACTCTCACCGAACTATACCTAAAACCAAGCAACTACCCTTCCTTTTCCCTAAGTTTTAAATTGACATCACACTCTATCTTCACCTGTTTTCATTATGGAATATCGTTCCTAATAGACCAAATGCCTTGTTTTAACTTGCAGGGTTTCTTGCGTGAAGAAAGGAGGCATCAGATTCACCATCAATGGCCATTCCTACTTCAACCTGGTCTTGATAACAAATGTGGGAGGTGCAGGGGACATAACTTCCGCCTCCATCAAGGGGTCCAAAACAGGGTGGCTACCCATGTCAAGAAATTGGGGTCAAAACTGGCAGAGCAATGCCTACCTTAATGGCCAAAGCCTCTCTTTTAAACTGACTGCCAGCGATGGCAGGACTACCACCAACTACAACGTAGTGCCCGCTGGCTGGCAGTTCGGACAAACTTATGAAGGAGATCAATTCTAGAGAAATTGTTTCCAAATATATATATATATATATATATATATTTATCAGGCACATGAGCGTATTATGCAGAGGTAGCAAAGTGGCGCCCGCTAGCTTTATGTGTGAAATTGGCGAGCAAGTGCCATAGCCTATATAGGTACATATATATATATACTGGCTCCAACTATTTAGTTTGGAGGGGAATAAGCTGAATTTTCCATAAGATAATCTGTCGGGAATTGTTAATTTGACCATAATATTTATTGTTTTTTTATGACTAAAATACTTAAAATTTTTAAATAATGGTATCTCAAAAATCAGAGCACGCTTCTTTTGTGATTTTCAAATTCAGATATTATGATAAGTATTGATAAAGAGTGCCTATGGAGTATAGTTAATATGTTATTTGTAGTCATGTTTTTATATTAAATGTAATAAGCAACAGTTAATAAGAAAAAAGTAACATATAATGAAAGAATATACTTAATAGAGTATTCTTCAAAAGTGCTCTGCCTTTAGAGCAGTCGCTAATTACCTCCCAATGCATTAGTGAGAAGTAGGATGCAGGATTGGATCCTCACAAGCATGAATTGGAGTCAGGAGACACTCGATCATCGTTGTAAGTGGGCTGCAGTTTGTGGTATCATGAGAGGGTTTTCCATTAGCCTAAGCCCACTAACATGCAGAAACATGCTTTCTTCACTGGACCCCTGCCGAATACTGTGCGAAAGTAGTACTAGAACGACAAAGAACTACTAGAGGGGAAGAGTGGGAAGGAAAAAGGGAAACTAAAAATCCAGATGGGAACACTAAGAAAAAGACTCAAAAGGAAATTAGGAGTCTAATTATCCTATAAGTTACCAAGACAGCGATCTGCCCAAGCCCCTTTCTCATGTTAGATAAAAGAGACATCTTCACAGGTTTTCTACAAAATTCACAGCACTTTGAAGGGGACGGAAGTTGCTCCCAAAACTGGAAGAAACTTCATATCCTGCATACACATCCTCACCTACTCAAACCAAATTCATCAAAGCACAGTTCTTTACAAGTATGATGGACACAAATGGACATGCACAACGAGCACCGCCTCCACTAAAAGAGCAGCCACGACAGTACAAAAATCGTACAAAACCACTCCAAGAGATTCAATAATTCAGCAAGGAGTACTTCACTCTCAAAACAATTTTGCCTTTCTCGACACCAAGCTTTCCACCAGTAACCAACCAATGGCCTGGAGGATCTTGCGGCCCTTTGCTCATCTCAGACATATCAACAAATTTTGACAACTTGTTTACAATGTTTTCTTGTGAACCAGAACTTGAGTCACCGGAGTTGGTAGAACCCACAGTAGTAACAACCTTTTTTGATTTGTCATTTGGAATATGGTCCCACAAAGATCTTCGTATTGTGCAACCTGGAAGCCTAGAATACAAGAGCTTCATGTACAAGACATTTCTCGATCCAAAATCCCAGACTCCAAGTTGTGCTCCAGTGACAATGTAGACACCAGAGAGGTCACCTATAAAGGTTTCAGGGTTTTCAATTGGTGCAGTACTAACATGAGAAAAATTCTTCCATTTCACAGGTTCAAACCATCTGCTATCTTGCTCCTCAGGTCCCTGCCACTTGGGAGCACCAATTGCCACATGGGTGTCCCAGTGTGGAAGTAGGATCTTTGGAAGAGAAGCTAAGTGTTGAAGATGAATACTCAGACGGTTCTTCTTGATTCCTTCTAGGCGTAACCGCAAGCCTGTTACCGGCTTACGTCCAACTGAGATCTGCATTTACATTGAGCCCAGATTAGATGCACATTCTTATTATAAGGATTCAAGTTACCACTCCCCAGTAACTTTCATGGTGTGATTTGTAGTCAATGTTCTATATTCAAAGACTCCAGAACCAAAGTAAAGTTGTTTCATGGGGTTATAAGCCCCAAAACAATGAATGGATTTTCTCAGATATTTTGTCTCAAGCATCCAAGCAGTGGTTGTTGAAAAAGCAGTAATAACGATAAATATCTTATTATATTTAATTATGAAGACTATAGAGTCCAACACCTCTATTGTATTTAATTATGAAGACTATAGAGTCCAACACCTCAAAATTGTCATACTATAAATCAAAGCTAAGGTGAGTCGACAGGCATATTAGCAGGAGCAAAAACACCACCTATAAAAGCTAAACATTACTGATAACTCAATTTTTTTGTTAAAAAAAAAATTCCTAGTATTTTAAGATTTCCCTTGACCAAAAGAATTTCACAAGATTTAAAATTAGTCTACAAAGGCCAATCAACTATTTAACAACAAGCCAAAAGAGTGGACCCTCTCATGTGGATATCAGCTTAAGGCTCACTTTTACTTCCTTCAATAAATAAAGGAATTGCATTTCAGTCATATGCCACACCACATTATGGCTCTTAGAATGGCCACCATGGTTATGCAAGGGCAAAGGAAATTCCAGCTAATGAACAAACAACAAAAATATAAAATAAAAACCCCTCTATTAAAGGCCAAATCAAGCTAGAAAAAGCGCAATAGTCAGGAGGAAAGAGAACAGCTATTAAAGCTGGTAAAGCTTCTCATAATGGGAAAGATAAAGAGGAAGGTGGTTTTCATTGTTCAACATTTCAGGACAATGCTGTTATTTCAAATTTCCAGGGACTGCAACAACCATAAGAAACCCTCTATCATATGCACATAGGCATACAGTACAAAAACATGAAGCCTTTATCCCTGAGCCAACATAATGCAGACAATTGTGCTCTTTTTCCATTCTCAGGAACAAGTCTCACCAACAAGTGGAAGAGCTTAAAGTTTTAAGATGAAAAGCTATGTTTGCATAAACCTATACCTGCTCTTGGCTGACATAAAGTTTTTGCCCCATCATGCTGAATTGTAAAGATGGGCAAATAGGTTCCTTCCTTGGGTGGCCAGGAATCTTGTCCTGAATAGGAGCCCATATCCTAGGAATTTGGAACTCTAGAAAATACCTTAGCTCTTCAATTGGAGGCTTGTCTGCAGATAATCAGACCAAAAATTTGAGTTAAGACAAATAGTTTACAATTAGCAACATAACAAATGAGAAAGAAAAGATTGCATCTCATCAACCATAAAATATTAGTTGTATTACATTCAAGATAAACACTAATAGCACGGGTCAGATGCTCCTTTCCAGCTACCCCATCAAGCAAAGCAGTAATAGGATAGAAAGTCATTTCAATAACATCAGGAGAGGACCGGACAGTTTTTGCCCATTTGGTGTGGTTTTGCTCCAGATCATCTCCTCCCCTCCTCCGAAATATTACTGTAACATCCTGCAACAATAAGAATTCCAGAAAATTGAGATCAAGGCTTCATGGAGATTAAGTGAAACAAAGTCTAGCAAGTCCCACATATTGAATTGACAGAAAAAAGTAAATGATAAATAAAAAATTAACACTAAAAGGCAAAAAATTTCTGGTAGAAAGCAAGCAAGTTTGCTCCATCAATCATACAAATAAAATTGCTTGGCCAATAGAGGCAAGCTGAAATATGCATGTTCAATCATTATAAAAGTGATGCACCAACAACCTAATGCTAAAGCAATCCAAGCTAGAATATCTTTTGGCAATAACAAAGCAATGAAGTCTTACATATTAGCCATTCCTGCATGCTTAGTCAAGATCAATGATATCATAACTGTTCAATATCATTGCATGTGGACATTCTTTAAGAGGAATAGTACAAAATATAACAACCTCAATGACCAAACAAACAAACAAAGCATTTTCCCACTACATGGCATCTGCTACATGGATCTGATTCAACAATGGAAAAAAAAAAAAACAGAAATACAAAATCCACCCAAAACAAAAACAGTCATGAAGCTATCACATCAACAAACCATGACCAACATATAACCAAGCCCTTTCAACACGTACAAACACACATGCTTAATTAATGAGTTACATAAAATGAGCAGGAAAATGCAGTGGGGTGACTGGTACAGTAGTTTCAGTCATGGATCTCCATATAAATAACTATTTTTGCCTATTGCTTGATGTCCTACATGCTAAATCGCTTATGTGTACAATAAACAAAAGCCACCTTTCTTTTGAAAATTAGTTTTTCAATAATTTTGAAGTCTGGGCACAGCATATTACAAAACAGCATCCCAAAATATTAAATATTCATATGCGATCGATTTCCACTAATAAACTGTCGAGATCTGAATACCTCTTTCCCATTAAGATATGGTGCACTGGTAGGCTGAGGGTATATTCCTTGACTGTTGAATAAGCCAGGATCAAGACCCTGCAAAGCACAAAATTTTCTCAAGTAAGTAATGGGCAAGAAAGCAAGACAGATGAAAGATGACAAAAATACGAAAGAAACAGTGGCACTAGCCTTATCCTTTAACTTGATTTGACCTGAACTTGTATGACTTTCTTTGTCAGAGAATCTCTGATTTCCAATATCCTGGACATAGTTTTTAATCTCCATGGTGGACAAAGGTGAAGAGTGATGTTGTTTGATGTATATCACATCTTTACCGCCAATAGTTACAGAAGTAATGACATGTGTCCCAAAATTTTCAATGAAACTGTCAAATAAAGCAATATTATGAATTGAACCTATATTGTAAAAATATTTACACTTAAAACCAAATAGTTTATACCTTGCCAGGGATGATGGGTCCCAAGAAGTTGGGACAGCTCGTTTAACATTTTCTTGCAATACCGATGGGGACTTTGTAAGCTGAAACTTGGCAAGTGGAATGTAAAACCCATCCATAGAGACTGTCTTTGTGGTCGCAGCATCAATATTTGCTGAACCAGTAAAGCTAAATGCAGAGATGAAACTACCAAGCGGAAAACCACCGGACACATTTGCTTTTTTATTAAAATATTCCAGCATCTGCAGTTTGATAGTTAAGAAAATCAAATTAGAAAATGTTAAAGCAATACAATTCATGTTTGAAACAAATCAAAGAAAATAAATCATTGCAAATAGTCTACATAAAGCTCTTAAGATCAGAAATGTTAGTGATGTTAATTTTGCATTTCATTATTGATCTCAGTGTACTTTGAGATTGAATTAGCACACACACACTCTCTCTCTCTCTTTCTCCCAAAAGATAATTAGGCCATCAAAATCAAATTCAAGATCTTACACATTGACTTAATTGTCAGCATCAACACTTGAACTGAAGTTAATCCCTTAAACTCAATTTGAAAGTCACAAAATAATTGGGAATCAAACACTAACAATCGAACAGGACCTTAGTATACTTTGGTAGGAGATGATACACAAGTCCAAACAGAATCGATTACCAGAGATTCTTAGGCTAACAATTAGCATCATGAACAATTGTACTTGTCAAATAATATCTTAACAAAGCACGTGCATATAAAGTATTCAATGATCATGTACTAGAGGATAGAATGGGAGAAATAACTTCAAACCAAGTAAGAAAAGTTCGGATGAAACGAGATGAGCTGTCATTGAATAGGCTGTACTAATAGAACGGTTTACTCATAAATATAACCAAAATAAAACATTAAAATAAGAATTAATGTAAGCAAGGTATAAATTTCATCAAGCCATTATAATAGAGACTTGATGCAGAAAAAGAAAGTCCAAAGAATTTTCTTCATCTTCAGGCAGGGATAATTATTTGCACATGGTTGAAGTTTGTTCTACATATTTCTTCTCAATATCAAGATCAATTTAATTGGACCTTTTCTCTCTTTTTTTTATCAGTCCAACTGCCACTTCTGTTGATCGCCAAAACAATAAAAACTCATGATATCTTGACTATCATTAGTTTTCAAACCTTTAACCCTAAAGTCAAGGTCTTACTATGCCTATCTACCAAAGCCCCAGAAGAAACACAAGAACATACAAGTGTAAATTTGAGCTGAAGCCAAAAATCAACAAGCTAGCATAATTCATGAATAAAACACCCAACAAACAAACAGAAAACAAAACACAACGTTACCTCATGAAAATTGCAAACCCAGAACTGTGACGGCCAAAAGGCTCTTGAAGTTCTTGATATCTCTAGAATATTGACAGAACAATATGATCGTCAAGTAGAATGTCCCTACCATGTTCCTCATCAACTTCTACTATCCTAGAACCCGCCACGCCTTTACAGTACAATAACCTCGTATCATAGTTAACATCAAACCCCCTCCCTAATGCCTGCACAGCGTTCATTGCAGTGTGCAAGGCAGCTGCATTTCCATTTCCATTTTCACCCATTTTCTCATCACCAGAATTCCTTTCAATTCCCTTTCAACCTCCAAGCTTTTCCTTGATCAGAATCATACCCAATTCACCAAATAAGGTCATCTCAAAGACCCAATTTCTCTATCTACAGAATTTCAAAGAAATCGAATGACTGGTTAAGATATTTTGAGGTGGGCAACGAGGGCGATGGGCTGATGGTCAAACCACATGGTTGTTTCTTCTCTCTTTGAGAATGTGAGGTTGACTGAGAGACGGAAGAAAAGATTCGTCAGAGATACGGCGAGGAGAGAATCGAGAATTCTACTTTGTATTTGCAGGCGATCTGAAAGACAATATCCTATCTGATGATTTCTCTAGAAATTCTCTTTTTCTTCTGGTGTTGGGTTTAAAAAATAAATGAAATCTGCCCTTGTATTCTACTCGCATACTTTCTACTATCTTACGAGTTACGACTATGTTGTCCGAAAGCCATGACCTCTCAAAGTCTTTGTGGCAAATAGACCATACAAGCTGTGACGTGTTACTTTTCCATGGAAATCCTAGCCGTTCATTTCTTCAGGACTTTAGTCTCACTCATGCGAGAGAAAAGAAAATGGAGAGCCAAAGGAAAATATTTACTCGAACAACTTTCACACTGGGGAGACAGGAAGGAAACTGCGTAGAGAAATTTTCCTTCTTTTTCTCATTTGTTTAGAACTTGTTTGATGGTATAGAGACGGTGTCATGAGATTTAATGAAAGATCAAGGATTCAATGGGGGTGAAAAGTCCTCCATTTCATGCTACCAAACAAGACTTTCGAGAGAAATCAACTCAAATTCAACTCAGTAATGAATAAATTAAATTAACTTTCAAGTCTAATCCAAATAATTTATGAGTACCTCATGTCATTAACCCTTCAATGTGCAGTTTCTTCCAAGTAGTTGACTAATGCATTTGGGTTCTGGTTTTCTAATAAAAGCTCAACTTTCTATGATGCTATGCTCATCTCTACTCAGATCATCGTACTGTAGAGTCCAGAGGGGAGAATTGCTAATGCATGACACTACTTAATAACGTATCCTATCTTTCACTACCTTACTAACATGCGATTAATATTTCTTTATTTTTTATATTAAAATGTATTAAATGAACACAAAAAATTGAGATAGCAAAAAAAAAACAAAAACAAAACTGCAAGACCGAACAATAAAATAACCTCAAAGTTGAATTAATTTTGTCCTTGAATTGAAAAATCGGGAGCTATATTTTATTAGGTCAAAATTGATTTATGCAGAAATTGATTTTTTTTTTTTGAAAAAAAATTAAGTAGTATTAAGAATTAAC